GAGAAAGCCCGATTCCCAGGAAAATTGCAGGTCTGTCTCTCACCTGCTGCAGGCAGGAGAGTCTTTCTCCCACCTCTTCTAGGTATATGCAATATCTGTACTTAACTCTTTTGTGTACATTGGTAGGCTAGAGTCCAAGATCAGTGATAGTTCTTTCCATTTTTAGTGCAGGCAAATGATGGGATTTCAGCAGGGCTGAATTAGGTCTGGTCACGGTGCTAGAAGATTGAGCCCTGCTTGTAAAGGAACTCCAAAGAGAAATGGGACAAGTGGAGCTCATGTGAGCTGGTGTAGAAAAGAGGCAGAACTTGATACCTTTACTGTTGGGATTGATGCCTGGTTTTGCAGCAGAAGACAAAAATCTGTGCCATAGGATTGCCCCTCTTCCTTTTGCAAGCAATGGGTTCTACCCCTTTGTGCCTCGGGAACCACCTGGCTTTGGGAATGGAAAACTGGAGAATTTCCCTGGTGTCAGTCTGTGAGAGGAGACAACTCCGGGAAGAGCAAAGGTGTTGCTCTGAGGTGGGATGTGACTAGGTTAATGTGGGACAAAGTCAAGTGTCAATGCCAGGGCTGAAGAATGCATTGGAGTTCGAGATTTGGGGGACACAATGAATTGCTGGGCAGGAGATGGACAGATGGAGAAAGATCTTGGAGGAGGTCCCAAAATTGCCCTATTTAATTTAGTACATTTGGGAGAGTCATCATTCTTCTCATCAGGCATATGTTTTGGGAATGGGCCAAGGGAGGTTTCAACAGAATCAGAATCAGAATCACAATCTCAGCTTTCTTTTCTTTTTTTTAAAAACCAAACAACAACAACAACAAGAAAAAGGCACCCCCCCCCAAGAACCCCAACAACAAAAAAGAAAATCAACAAAAAAACAAAACCAAAAAACCCACACCCAAAAAACCCCTAAACCAACAAACCAACCACCAAAAAACCCCAAACCCTCAATCTAACAACAACAAAAAAAAAAAATCTCCAAATGAGACTCACTATTTTGGGATCATTTTTATATGCACTGAGAAACCTTTAAAACATAAATAAAAATCTGTTAACTGTTAATATCTCTTGATTTTCTTACCCAAGTAAGAAAAAACAGATTCAGGACAGATGTAGAGGCAACTTGGGAAAAGTGGAATGACAGGAAATTATGTTGGTCACAACTGAAATGCTCAGCACAACCAAAGCACATGAGCTAGTGAACCTTTTTTACAGCACACGTTGCCCCTGTGCCACAGACTGTTAATTTTCTCTTACCCGAAGCAGATGGAGAAAACCTTTGGGGATGGGATTTTTCTCCTGTGACTGGAGAAGAGACTGTGCACACTCTGGAGAGAGAAGAGTCACACCTCTTGCTTTCCTATGTCTGGGTTAGCAGGAAAGCTGGATGAGGATTCACGGCTATACGGGATCCATGTTTGCTTAAGGTGCTGAGGGATGCTGAGGTCAGGCAAGCTCCCCTGCTGCAGTGGGGAACTGCTATAATAACTGCTCTTTCTGCTGTTATGGGCCACACAAGGATGAGATATTTATTAGGCTAATGAGCAAATTATAATTCAAAGCTTTATGATGAACAAAAAAAGAAATGTATGTTAGCTCCCAACTGGTAATGGTTGTAGGATCAGACTCGCAGAATTCTTGAATTTCAAAGTTTTCCCAAGTGACCAGTGCTTGGATGTGATGCAGCCATATATGAGTATGTGGTTATATTCTTTAATGTAGAAATGCATGTGTGCGTCGTGGTCACAATATGGAGAATGAGAGGAAAAAGCAACCTTACCTCATTTCCTGCCTTTTTCTATGTCAATTCCCATTCATAAAGCACAGAGAAGGGGTATTTTTGTTTCCTAGGGGTATATTTTTCTTCCCTCCACTAAAAGAAAATGCAGAAAGCTTTGGTCATGCATGCAAATTCAGCTGTGTTTGGTTTGTGGCACAGAGGTCTAAGTATGCATTAGGACATGACCTGCCTAGTGTACCTGTTTTGTATCACCTCCATATACAGAGGGAGGTTTTGTGTACGCTGTGCTATCCAAAGGCAGTTTTGGATTACAGTTTATCTGAGCTGGAATCAAATCCTCAAGGAGAAACGCTCTTTTAATCATTCAAGCTGGATGCTGCCCGAGTTTTGGAATCTTGCAAATATGTTGGCATTTATGTAATAAATACAAACTTTAAGAGTGTTTCTTTTCCTTGAGGAACTCTTTGACTTCATAAGCTTTTATTGTGAGCTGGTTGTTAGGGCTGAGAATTTGCCACTGACTCCCTCTCCCCACCCCAAACCAAACAAATAAATAGAACCATATGTAGTTGACTTCATCCTCCAAACTGGCTCTTCATAGGCTACTTCCCTATGAAATCAGCAGCATTTTTTTTTCCTTTCAAGTTTTGAGACATGCCAGACCACTGGAGGCTGCATGGAGAAGGAAGATGTTAGCCCTAGTGATGACTCCTAAGTCAGCTGTCAGCTCAATCCAAAATATCAGTCATCTTCCCATAGCTAAAGTTGCTGTAACATGTTTTTCTTGCCATGTTCCCTGTGTGAAATGAGCTGCTGGAGCAAAAAGGGTTTTAAAGACATTCTTTGTTGTTTGGGTTGGGGTTTTTTTTGTTCAAAATAGAAACATTTAATCATCTTTTTAATCATAGTTTCAATGTACAGCCAAACAATGTTATTTTTTTCAGTGGCTGTTTCTGGTTTAGACTCATCGTAAATCTGTTTCAGTTTGTCAGTGGTGCGATCCAGTTCTGACTATGAAGTGACCCAAGTACAGATCAGTCTGATCCCGCATTTTATTCTGTACAATATTACTGACTTGCCATGTGGTCACTTATAAATTTATCTTTTATTTCCATTATCTTTGAAATCAGGGTAGCTCTTGGTAAACTCTCAAAGGTTTTACAGTTGTTTAATATTGTTGATATTGGTAGATATTGTTGATATTGGTAGATATTGTTGATATTGGTGGAGCATGGACCACAGCTTAATGATAGAGAAGGAGGGATGCACCCGGTGACCCAGCAGAATTAGGGTGAAGAGCATGAAGAGGCAGAATGAGACCAGTGACAGTGACAGAAAAAAAGGGAAGTTCAGACCAAGGGGTACCAGTGGGAAGCTGGTATTGAGCTGTACATATTGGGTAGGATTATGCAAACGGAAAAGAATGAAAGGAAGCAGAGCACAAAGGAAAGCAGTGATTTGGAGAAAGATGGGTTGAGTTAAAGAGTTGGAAGAAAGAAAAGGGAATAAGGAAAAACGTTCATTCTGGTCGATTAGCTTTACAGATTATCTGATTTTTACTTCTGAGATGTTATCCTCATGTTTCTAAACTTGGGGCAAAATGATGCTTTCTTTTTTAATTTTTTTAAAGAATCTGACCATCCTAAATTATTGCGTTAAATCATCTGGAGTAGGAAGACCTCTTTGAGGTCTTACTGGTATCTGATAGCACCCTCTGTTCCCTAGAAAATAGCCCCTGGAACTCTTGTGTTAATGGCTTGGCACAGTCCCCTGCCAGCTTGTCCTGGTGGCTTTCAAACTGTTGTCTTGTGTCGTAGAGAACTTCTAACGTGTAAAGCATTTAAGAACATCAACAAAAAGTAGCAATGGAAAGTTTTTTGTCTGTGGATTTTTTTTTTCTTCTTTTACTGCTTAGTGAGTAATGTGCCTGGTTTAAAACTGTGCCAAATAACACCTCTGGTTTTGTTTGGTTGGTTCTTGGCGGTGGTTGTCCTTTTTTCCCTACTGCCAGGCCTGCATGTGAGGAAGCAGTGGCAAGGAGAAGGGGTGCAGTAGGGATGGTTTGTGGTGACTTAGTGGGAAATAAGAGGAGGATGGTCCATGCTGGGTTGAAACGGGGGGGCTGGGGCGTGCTGCTGTTCCTATTGTTCTGCCAGACTGTATGATTCAGCCACAAAGCAGCTGGTTCTCAAAATTAATGTTTAAAACTTGGCGTTTTGAAAAATACCACTTCAAAACATAATGAAGCACAATAAGAAACATTAAGACTGATACTTTGAAACTACCTGAAGATAGATGAATCACTTGAAAATTCTCCCAGTAAAAATATTTGTATTTTCTCTCAACAAACCAGTGTGTTGAAACTGAAGCATAACCTTGGGTCTCGCATAAGCTTCTGCAGTGACTAATTAGGCAGTGGAAAAGCAGAGAAATCACCTCACCTTTGACCGCAGCACTAGTTAAAAAAGTTTTGGAAAATATGGGCAACCACTGCAATCCTGCATTGTAGGAAGGGGTGGAGATGGAGCGGCTGCCTTCCCCAGGGCTGTGGTTGGTATTGCACTGACTATCAGCACCCATAACTGCTCCCACTAAGATTAATAAGGAGAGACTTAATGCATGGTGGTCACCTGTAGGAGCCAAGAGAGACTTGCTGGGGGTCCTGCTGCCACCCATCACCACCAGCACAGAGTGGGACGGGTACCTTGCAGGACACAGTGGGATGTGACGTCCCAGGCAGGATAGACCAAAGGTGCTGCCAGATGTAGCAGCTCCCATGTTAGGCTTTTATCTCCTCCTTTGCTGTCAGCTAATGTCCTTCAGACATTGATGGTACTATGAAATCTTCCAGGAGCCACAGCATTTGTTTCCCTTGAAACTTGGGAGGGCAGGGGACAGCAGGGAAGAGGATTGTGTTTTTTTAAAAATCTTGTTTAGGCTTTTATTTGCCTGGGGTTTTTTTCCCTCTGGAGAGCGCACAGCTCACTCTTTCAGGCTGGTTTTTGCCTGCAAGAAATTCCTATGAAACGATCAGAGGATTTGAGGGTCTGTGAGATGCTTCTATATTTTGAGTCCTAATCACTTAGGTGAAAAAGAATAAGTAAATTATATATTGAACTGCTAACTGGTGCTGAGGCCTGGTGGTTTCCATGGCAACTGGGCTGGAAATAGCTGCCTGTGACGTCACCAGCACGGCACAGGTAGAGTTGAATCCCGCCACCGTTTTTCCCTGAAGAAGTGAGTTCGGCAGGCACAAACACCTTGACATTGCAATTAACATATGCAAATATCCCAGCCACCCTGGGGGCACCTGTCCATCGCCAGGGTACATCGAGTTCACAGCGCACACAGCAGAAATGTCTGAGGCCTCTTGAAGGTACTAAGAGAGGCCAGATCCCCCCATCCCACACCTCCCCTCTGTGTTGGCTGCATTGGGGTGCAGAGCCACAGAGTGAAGCTTCCGGCCCCACATCCGCACTGGGGGACTTGGGTCTTCTCCAGTGCCCGGTGATACCCCAGTTGCCCAAGCTGCTCCTCTAATTCATCTTACGGTTGCAGTATTACATGTGAGAGGGGAGAGACTTCTAAACAGCTTGGACGCCCTTTCTTCTTTCTGGAGATGGATAAAAGACATGGTAGGTTTGGTCTTCTTTTTTGGTTATTTTCTGGAGGATTTGGTTTTATTTTCCCTTTCTTTTTTATCTTTGAGATGCCAGGAATTTAAACTCTGATCTTTTCTGGCATTGCTGAAGGACAAGTGGGAGGTATAAATGAATCTATGAATGTGAATGTTTAAAACGTTAATTGAAGGGGTGAACATGGTGAATCTTTAACAAAGGCTTTGTCTACTTAAAATATTAATTACTTGTTGAAGTAAATACATTTTAAGCAAAACAAACAACCAGCCTGATTAAGCATGGTTATTTGATTATCCTGGTAGAGTGGAGAATGGAGGTTCTGCCTGAAGCCTCTTGCACTGTACTGAAGGTATAGGAGTGTCACACTTCTCTGTGACAGGAACTGACCCACACTGGAGCCTGGGTAGACACAGGCAAGGTGGATGTGAAGAGTAAGTTTCCTGTTCAGCTGTGGAATTGAATATCATTTAGCCAGCAACACTAAAAAAACCCACCCCACTGATCTGATTACCTAGCTCTACACATGACCAAAACATAGTAGATGTGGTACTTCCTTCCGCATGTTTTCTGGTGTTTGCGTTCAATTTAGTTTTAGCTGTCCCAAGTGATTATATTTCCAACGTTTTCCTGAGAAGATGAGACCATATGTCTCCTGTTAAGGTGATTTTGTCCTCTTTTCCTCATGCAGCAACGAGCCTGTGTGTTTCCTTTCTTGGTTTCCACTGGCTCTGAGGAAGTAGCATTGGATGATCCCCTTTTTAATTTGTGCCTCTCAGAGGTTTGTAGACAGTTCAGTTCCCGGCTCATTGGCCATTGCTTAGCAAGCTCTCATAGTTAGTCCTTGTGTTTGTAAATTATTTCTAGTTCTTGATAATGCACTTGTTTCTCTTCTGCAACCTTCAATTTTGTAATGGGTTTTTCTGAGCAGGTTTCTGGTATGGTTGCAGCCAAAATAATTTGAGGCTACTAGTACTGCAAGCACATGCAGCAAGTGGAGCTATTTGCCTCCAGCAGTGCCCACCTGTACACAGAAGTAGCTCTGTTACAAAAGTCTTCTCCAGGAGAGTCCTACATCTCCTATGCCTGTGTCATTGCAGTGGCTCTGAGTACCAAACACATCTGATGTTTCAGTTGTGATAGCTGCTTCTCTGAGTTAGGGTCTCATACTGTCTCTTGCCTTTGGTCAAAACAGATGCACTCTGGGTAGTGTTTTAGATTTAAATGCTTATCTGTCATATATGCATAAAAACATTCAGTGTTTATAATGAGAAAAATGACACAGGGCAATGGATGGGCAGTTTACTGGGTGCCGTGGCTTGCAGAGTGTTGTTTGCAGATAGCGCCTGCATGGACCACCTGCTATGCTTCACAGGCCAGTAGTGACCCCTGCACCACAGTTTGGGTGATGCTGTTCTAGGGCCTTATCTATACTAGAAAAAGGAAGACAAATGATGCATAGTTTATCGTCCTGTTGTAAAGCTAAATGACATTGTGGAATGGTTTAGGGGTTTTTTTAATGTCAGGAGCTGATTCTTGCATATGCTGCAGCAGTGTTTCTGCTTCCAGAGGTGAAATAACTGTCCTGATTTCATCAGTGTAGAAACAGATATGTACTTAGAACTACAGAAGATCCTACCTATATAATGTAATTCCTTTTGGAAGCAAGTATTAGTAGCCCCTTTTTCCTTCTTTGGGTGGACTACTTTAAACCATTCATATTATTGTGGCTTCCAAGGGGTTTTTCCTTCCAACTTGGTTTGTAGGCAGTGCCCCAAGAAGTAGATAGATATGAGTATGAAAAATATGAAGATCTTCAAAGCCTTATTGACAAAAGGAAAACCTTGCAATGCATTTCCCTGCTGTCATCCCTAGTTAGCTGTGCTACCACTAGTGATGAGGCAGAGGAGTTTGAGATCATCTGTGGCTCTTAGAAGAAACGCCAAAATTTAAAACTGAACACCTATTGCTGAAGGCTTTTGAGCAGTCATGAAAACCTGGCATTTGTTTAGACACCTTAGTGTTAGCTGAGCGTTTAGAAGATGCTTTCTCTGCTTAGACATGCAGTAATCATCTATTGCATGATGCTTGAAGGACTACAATCAGCATTTCTGTCTTAAGGTACATACTGCTATTAACACTTGTTGCGTTCCTCAGGGTTTCTGACACCTCCTGCCGTTTATGTAGGTGAAAACTTTGGGCCTAATATGGACACAGTTTCGTTGTATAGCCCTCTTGATAGGATGAGAAGGAATGGCACTGCTCGGTGTTCCCATCAGAGTCCTTGGCAAATGCATCTGTCAGGAAGGATTTGGTGATGGGTGTTAAGATAACAGGCCACTGGGGAGGGGGGGGGAAGGCGGGGGCAGGGAGGTGGACTATGACTTTTCACTCCTTGTCACCTCTACTTCTCTCCCAATTCACACGATCTTCAGAAAAAGGAAAAGCTGTTACTACTGCTGACTGCTCAACTCTTGCAGAGTTCTTGATCTCTGCGCATGCTGTGCATAATACCTGTGCAGTGGTATTGCTTGGGAAGGGTGAAAGCCCAGAAGATAGGGGTTTATTGTCTTTTATGCTGAGGCTTGCCAAGGTCCCAGTGGCTGCAATCTCCAAAATTAGATGGTTTGTGTTTGGAGTTAGGATATCATCAATGGGGCCTACTGGGGACAACCTGCTGTTTATGCACCCTAAAAATACCACTTTGTCTTCTCTCTGCCACAGAGTGGATGGGAAGGGAAACAGGACCGAGTACAGGGGCTCAGGGAATGAGAAGGACGGAGGGTGGGTGGAGGATGATCTTCAGGAAATGAGTCTGGTGGCTGGAAGGAGTTTGGCCCCATTTAAAATGGCTGCTGCTGCATTCAAGGGGCCATTTTAAGTGCCTGTTATCCTACTCTCGCTTAAGGCTGTAATTTGAATGAATGTGAAGCCAACAAAAATGTTAGATTCCTGTACAAATCTGTTCTGATTTGGGGATTCATCCGAGTCCCAACAATGCATAAAGTACTGCAGAATGAGAGGTGATACATTGTGGAAATGTAAGATATGAATTTTATATTTATTACTGACTTGGCAGGGTGCTTTTCACATCACCATTCTGGTACAATTTTGATTAGATTTTTATGCTGAGCATCGGAGAAACACTGCTCGTGTGTACGTAATTCTCTTTCCCTTTTGTGCATCCTTTCTCTGATAAGGAGAATTCTGTGCTGATGAGACAGGGTTGTCAGTCATTGCACTGTAACGATACAGTTCAGACAATGCCAGTGAAAACTTCCTCTGCCAGCGTGGAGGATGTGTCTTGACATGGAGCAGAGTGCCGCTAGCAGTGGGAGAACAGGTAAGTTTCTGTGTCCTGCCCAATTGACCTCTGCAAGAGTTCAGAAGGGTGATGGTGGTTTCCATCACGTTGCTGCGTATGGGGGAACCTGTTCAGTGGTCCTCGGTCCCTGTGTTGCTCTCATTTGTCACAAATTGTTGTCTTGTAATGGATTTTGTTTACTCCCAGCATGTGCTGGCTCTGAACTAGCACTGAAAGCAGATAAAATTTTATCTGCAGATGGAGTGCTGTCTGTTCTCTCACAGGTACTCGTTTTCTTTAAATGGGAAAGCATCAGGAAAATACCCTTCTCTATAGACTATCTTACAGAGTCAGAGTTCGGGGGCAGTGGTAAATCTGATGTGTATATTTATATATAGTAATTTATGCAACTCTTGTCTTTTGTATATAGCTTTTTACAAGCATCAGTGCATGTATTTTACCTTGCTTTGTGTTAAAACTAGTAGCGTCCCCATTTTATAGCTTTATAAAGAACTGTGTTGCGTGGTTTGAGATGGTGCAGAAAGTCTGCATTAAAACTGGGAACTGAACCCAGACTTCTGGAATTCTCAGTTCAGTGTCCAATACCCAGGAAGAATGAGAGAGAAGGCAGGATGATTTTTGTGCTTATTTCAAGATACATTTACATATTTTTGTGTTGAATTGGCTTCTGGAGATGAGCAGCTTTGATGTGGCATTTTTCATTAGAATAATTGTCTTGAGAAGGAGCTTAAAAGGATAAAAATGTAGTTGTTTCTTTGCATCTTCACCACAAACAGCATTGCAATTGTACTTCAGGAATGCACTTGGCTTGTGGCATTTGGTGGAACCAAAAGATTTCACTCAGTATGATACTGGCAGAGAAAAATGTATGAACAGATGATTGCCAGCAAGTTGATTTACCACAATGAGTTTATAAATTGTCATCTGGGCTATAGTAGTTTCACTCTGTGATCCTTCTTCATTGCAGTAGGTAGTAAAATGTTTGCTTATACCATCAGGATGTTGCTTAGTTCAGTGTTGCTGTGACTCGGCTGGCAAATGGTAACTTGTTAGTCATGGTAACTCAACTGCTTATTTCTGTGCTTGCAGCTCTTGAAATGATTTTGGTGGGTAGCCATTGTCAATGGAAGGCAAGTGAAAGGAAAAGCCTGGGAGTTAGCTGGTTGTAATCCCTGCCCTCACTGCTCACCTGGATAGAAGCAGATCTGCTTGCAGAGCTGATGGCGAAAAGAAATGGGAAAAGATTTGTCTGGGTCTGTCGCTGGTCTACCTAAGTAATTCTGTCACCTTCGTTAGAGCTGTGAATTCCTGTATTCAAAGTTTTGGCAGCAAATGGACAAGGCTTAAGGGGGGTGTTATATGGGTTAGTAGTTTAGTCCCTACCCTCCCACAGATGGAAGACTGACTCTTTGCAGAAAAGGTGGAGAGCCTTTCCCTTGTTGAGAACCAAGCTGCCCTTTTGGGCAGCCACACATTAGCCCATACCTTGACGTTACCCAGCAGCGATCTGTGAAGTCAGGTGGCTCCAGCCTACAGAAAATGAACCTGTAGTTTGTGCCTAGCCCCTGGGCTGCAAGATCTTCTGTCTGAGGTCTAAAACCTTAAATAGCCCACATTCATGGCCCACCTCTCCAGGAGGAAACCTTGCTTTAAGTGTAAAACCACTGTGCACTTAACAGTTGCTGATGCAGGGAAGTTGGCATGCAGTAAGCAGGGGTGTGAGTTTATGGCTCCCCAGCTGTTCTCGACTATTTTGTGGGGGCATTTTTCATATGCAGTTAAGACTTGAGCTGCTTGCTCCAGCAGTGTCAAGTAAGAGTGGCTACGGCGTGAGCTGGTGTGCAGTGCCTGCTGTGCCATCTGCTCAGAGCCCTGCTTGTTGATCCTTTCGCAGGAAAGGGTGAACAAGCCCTTGGATAACATTTGGATTATACAGGAGGCCACGCAGGATCAGAGGGGCAGCACGGTGATGGGGTGGAACTGAGGAGCTGTGAGACCAGTAGGGCTGCACATGCTGCACCAGACACAGCTGGGACGTGTCGGGCTTAAGAGTGCCCTGGTCGAGGCAGGAGCATCGGTAATGCAAGTGGAGAGTGCCTGTGTGGGATGGGGGCAGCGTCCTGGAGAGCAGAAGCAAGGGGAGCCCCCAGATCACACTGGCTGCAGGACCCTGCTTCTACCCCACTCTGGCCTTGGCAGAGCCCACCGGCGGGCCGACATGCTCTGCGGAGGAAGGAGGGAGCAAGCGCTTCCCGCGGTGGAGCACGAGCTGGCACCTGAGCAGTCTCACCTCTGCCCCGCTGGCTCTCACCGGCCCTTCCTGGCTGTCTGCCGCCTCTCTCCAGCTGCCAGCCCCCTGCCCGCTGGCAGGAACCCCATCCCCTGCCCGGGCTGGGAGCTGGCAGGAGAGAGGTGGGCTGCAGAGAGGATCAGCTCCCTCGGGCCCCTGATCCATCCCAGCAGAGCAGCGAGCCTCCCCCGGCTCCCCGTGTCAAGCGCGTGTTTAAGCTTGTGCTGGTCTCCTGGACACCTTCCCGGTGAGTTTTCCAGAGAATGACTACAGATGAAATGCAATTAGACACAGATGGACGAGGGGTGGGGGAGGAGTGGGAGATGAGCCGAGTTTGAAAATGGGGGGAGGGGAGCGATTAATTGCGAGGCCGTGAGGCAGGACCGGCATGTGCGAGAGGGATGTGTGCGAGGATCAGAGGTCCCCGCTGGGAAACGCTCGCTGGGCTGGGGCCGGGAACCTGAGGAGGTCTCTGTGCTCTCAACTGCTGCTGCCGCCGCTGTTGTGGTTGTTGGAGAGCCAGAGGGAAGCAGCAGGCGTGTCTCAGGGATGATTAATCATGTATGGCAGCAGCGAGGAAGGAGGACGCGGTGCGCACACGGAGACCAGCACCTCCCCTACCCCTGCGCGCCTTTGGCTCATTGACAGCAATCTCTTCTGCTCGGAAATGCAGCCCCAGAGGAGGGCAGTCAGAGGGGGACCGTGTTTCGCCTAAGCCAAGAGAGGGCTCCTTACCCACCCGCATCTGCTGGGAGCTCTGAGACTTAAGAAACTTAAATCTTCTGGATCTGGAGAAGAGTGAAAAAAATGTGAAGGCAGGGAGTTGCGCTAGTCCAGGTGGGAGGAGCGGCAGACCTGACTGAAGGTTTAATTTGTGAGGAGCATGGAAAAAATAAAAGTGGGTTTCGCAACAGCAGGCTGCAAGTGCTTCCTAGTTGGAGAGGTGACACTCCTCTCCAGTGACACCCTGGCACTACCTGGGCGGAGGGGGGGCTGGGGGAATTTAAACATAATTTGGTTTCTCTTTTGGGAAAAGAATTTGGTTTTAAGTCTCCAGGATTTGAGTTTTATTGCTGTAAAGAAAAACTTAAGAAATAGAAACCTGCTTTTGTGTGCGTTTGTGATTTTTTGTGAGGTCACATGGTTAAATCAGGACCACTGGCAGGCCTGCAACTTTTAACTAGGCTTCCCAGTCTAATGGTCATTACCTGCAGTGGTCTGCACGCACATATTACTCTTGCAGTTTTTCCTGCAAGTATCTGAAAGTGTCCCCTTTTCTCTGCATCCCCCATCAAAGCTAAGGCAGTATTCTTCCCACTATGACTTACAGTGGATGATGTCAAAGTGTTCGTACTTTTCCTGTTAACCTCAAAGACTGCCTTTGACAGTCTGTAACACTTCGTACTGGGAGGTTTGCACTGAAGGAAGGTGTTTGATTGTATTTTCCTGCCTCTTATTTCCCTCTGCTCAAGATTTGCTCAGATACCATTAACTATAGCGCTGTCTTCTGTCACTGAGGTGGGATCTCTGGGCTAATTTTTGTAGGGTTGCTTGGACGCACTTCTTTTACATTTGTCCCTGCAAGATGGCTAGAGAGTGTTATTTAATGCTTATAAACAGCTCCACATTTTCCACGTACCACTTCCTCATGCAGTGCAGAGCTGTGGCCAGAATCTGGAATGTGCTAATTTCTTTATTTTCCTCCACCTTTTTTTTTTTTTTTCTTAATTGTTCTAAATGTAGCTGAGTAGTATTTCACAAAGCTAAATATCGTCACAAAATAAGAAAGGAGTAGAGCATACAAACTGTTCAGAGGCAGGACTGGAATGGGTCTCTCCAGCCAGAGTTACGTTTGTTATGAAACGTGTGCTGCAGAGCTATGGAAGGCTAGGGTACCGCTGATGAGGTTGGAGGTACCTTTGCAGGGTTGTTTTGGGATCCGTGGATTAAAAAGCAATGCAGTTTTTCAAGCAGAATCAAAACACACTGGTGGCATCAGAAGCTGACAAAACCAAGAGCTGGAATAAATACTTAATGCTCCTCCCTGTGAGACCTCTGCTCACAGCCAGTAGTCATGGAAAACAGGACAAAACAGATGTGGATGCCCAAGCGAGTGAATAGTGCTCCTTTATTCGTTGCTGTTGTGAAGTGAGGTGTTTTCTTCTCCTCACCAATTTGCCGAGCTTCCTTTGGGGTGTCGGTGGCCTGGGATGGTGGTGGGAGGAAGGTGCTGGAAGCAGCTGGCATTTTGCACCAGCCCAGCAGGTCTAATTTTGGGATATGAGCAGCGTAACAAGCTCCTTTGCTTAGGACATGTGGAGGGATATCTCTGCCTTGCCTGAAGGGACCATCTACCTGTTTTGAATGGATGGACTGAGAGCAGGTAGAAGGGCAGGAGGGCATCCAAGTGCTTGAGGCCAGTACAACACAGATGTTTCCATTCGAAGCTCTTCCTGAGGCTTTCTCTAAAGGCGAGCAGCAGAGAATGAGGCAGCTTGTGGTCTGTTGTGCCTTCTGCACCCACCAAGGGGCTGATGGGAGCAGGGGGCTCATGCTAAGGCTTACCTCACAGTGTATGTGATTTAAGAGAAAGGAGGAAAATGAGGGATGAAAGGATGTAAACCAGGGACAAGAGGATGTAATTTGCTCACTCATCTGGCGGATGGGCTGCAAGAGGAGTGTGTTGCTAATTAATGTGAGCTATTGATCGCATTTGGACAGAGGTGATGCTGTGTTGGGGAGCAGCATTCACCTTTGCACTATTGGACCATCCAGGGTCCTTTTCCAGTTCGTGGATCATTTTGGCGAGCCTTCCAGCTTTGTGTTGCCCTCCAGCATCAGTGCTGGTGGCAGTGGTGGGGTCCTTGGCTCCCTGAGGACTGCTGCTTGTGCGAATGGGGGTGGGCAGGACTCCCTGTCTCAGTTGGCACCTTCGGGGCCACCTGGTCCCCTTCCCTGCCCGGGGATGCTTTCTGGCTGTGTAAAGGGAGCTTTCAGAGCAGCCAGGGGCTGGCTGCCAGGCTGCCTTTAATTCCCCCAGCTGGCAAACAGGAGGCCTGTGTCGGTTGCCGGGGCAATGGCGGGAAGCTGTGTTAGTTTAATGAAGCATTGGGAAGGCTGCTGTTTATTTCAGGGGAGCGGGGGTTCTCTCGTCTGCCAGGATGCTCCCCCGGGGTGGAAGGGCGGCTGCCAAAGGGTTCCTAGGCCAAGGCTGCCATGCTGTCCCCCTTGACTGCCGCCCTCAGCCCTTTCCAGGGTGCAGAGGCCAGCAAGTCGGGCCATTCCTCAGCACAGCATATCCGCCTGCTCCCTTTCCACTCGAGCCCCACATTTTCAGTGCCATGCCATCAAACTTGTCCTCTCCCAAAAGCGCCTGCCCTTTCCCAGGGAAGACCCCCCCCCCCTTGCCCCACACATGTGTTCAGGATCCAGTCCTTGCCCCATGCAGGGTGTCTCCCTCTCTGCTGCTGTGATGGATGCCCCTTCCCCTTTATTGCCCGCCTGGGGTGCAGTGCTTACCTGACTGGGGTGTTGAACTTACTCTCTTTACTTAAGCAAATGAAGACTTGAAGCATCAATGTCTTCATAGTAAAGGTGACCTACAAAGGAGGGAGGAGAAGAATGAAGGGGGGGAAGGGGGGAAGTGCCTTGCTTATGCCCCTTTTCCAGTGTCTCCTTTTGATTTAAAAGGGACTAATGGGGGGCTTGGGCTTTTTTATCCTTCTTTGCTTCTTTTCTTCCCAGCGTGTTATTTTAAATACAAAAGGATTTCTGGTCTTGTTTAACCTCTGGGGGGGAGGGGGATTCGATGCACAACTTGAGCACTAATAGGCTTATGACTATTCAGATAAAACTTCATTAACTGATTATTTAAAAAAATAAGCCTTATTCAGACCTGTTAAAAATCAAGAGAGTGTAAATGGGTGTGAACAAACAAATACTAGGTGGAGAGGTTGTCTAAAAGTTCAGTATGCTGTGTCCATTTAATAAAAGGCTAAGAAAAAACCTCAAGCCACAGACCAATGAATTTTCACTACCAAAAAGGCAAAATAAGACTATTATATTGCAAAAAAAAAAAAAAAGCCTTTTCATATGTGTAAAGGTAGATGCATTTGGTAAAGCTGTACAAACAGAAATGCACCTGAATTTTTTCCCTCTCTCCCCTCCTCCCCTTTTTTTTCTGTTTCCCGTTTAAAATGCCGTATAAACGAATGCTGTCCTGGATGATGCTTCCTCAGCTGGTGTAGCAGAGTCTGCCCTTGTCTTGCAGGAGCAGCTTTCCGCACCAGCCCTTGCAGGACCAAATCCCACCCCCCCAAGTACAGCAGCACATTATGCATGCCCGTGCTCCCGGCCAGGGCGGCAGCATCCCGTGGGGGGTTGCAGGTCGCCTGTGCCAGCCGTGCCATGTGGATGGAGCACAAGGAGCCAGTCTCTCTGCATGAAGCCCACATCAGCCCAAACTCTCCGACGCCCTGTTGCTACCCTCCCTCCCTGGCCCGTTTCTCGCTGTATGCGCGAGTCTCGCGCCCTGTGGACGGCTGGTAATTAAAAAACCTTGGAGGGGGATATTATTGAGTTAACAGTAGTTATTTGTCAGGCTGCTGGAGAGGGGGGAGAGTGATCTATCCCCAGGGAAAGCTGCACTGACGAGGGGTGGGGGGGAGCAGGAGGGAGGAGGAAGTGGGGGCGAGATTGGCAGGTGACTGCCAGCTCCGAGGAGATGACAGCGGCAGCAGCTCCGCCAGTCCCACTTGAACACTGCACTGCAGGTACTGGGTTAATGGGTGGGAAGTGGTGAAGAAGAATATCAGGGTGGGTGGCTGGAGGGGAGGGTGTTGGTGTGGGGGAGTTGATTTCTGCTAAACGCCAAGACAGAGATGACACTCTCTGTATACATGTAATCATTAGACTTTTCATTCCCAAGAATATTTTCCTTCATATAATTTTTTAAAATGCAGAGAAACCTTTCCCCAAACCTGACAGTATTCTACCTACAATCACTTCCCTCTTGCCAATATTACCATGCTCTACAAAACCAGTCTGAAATGCTGTACTATTTTTGACCATTTCATTTGGGTTATTTGTAGTGAAATTTTAATTCTTAAGGTGCTAGGAATAGGTTCCTCAGTCCCACATCATCTCCATGTAGCAAGGCCTTTTTACTGAATGTGAGACTGCATTACAATCCAAACCTCACAATTTTCTTGTTTGATAACACTGACTATCCAACTAGAAAATTCATGTATCCTCGTTTTGCAGGACTGGCAGGTTAGACCTAGGCTGAAGTCCTGATTGACATCTGCAGACAGCATTCTTGCTCATGCTTTCTCCCTCTCTCTCTCTCTCTCTCTCTCTCTCTCCTGTGCTCATGCTGTCTCTCTTTTTTCCCCCTCTTTTTTCTTTTGGAGGGCAAAACATCTGTTTGCAAAGGGCTGAGGACACATGCTGCATAGGGAGATAAAAGCAAAGAGCCCTTATCCCATGTAAGAGTTCATAGATCTGTAACTCAGGGGGCTGGCGACAGGGTTTGACAAGGGTTGAAATCCTTCTGTCTTTCTCCCTTATATATTTGAGTTTGAAAAACAAAAACAACCAGGGTTATCTCAGATGTGCAATAGTGAGGATTTAGGTGTCAGCTTCGCTATCAGCTTCATTCTTTGTGCACAAAGAGAGAAAGAGGATCACAGATTTGCACCTAAGCTACACAGAGCGATGCCAATGCCTTGGTTTATCACAGTGAAGGAAGCCCATGCCTCTCCCTGCCCACTACAGCAGAGTTAAGCCCCAAGGGCCTTACACAGGCAGTGCATCCTTTCCCTCCCTGCAGCAGGAGCCAAGTTTAAGGAATGGGATGAGAGTTCAAGGCACACATATGATTGTAGACCTGCATTGTATAGATAGCAAAGAAAGGAAGCTTCACAAATGTTCTGATGCTTTCCCCTCCCAGTACCAACAGGCCCCTGTAAAGTATTTAGCCATAAAAGTGTGCCTTTTCTCTTTGACCTGCCCTAATTGTGGAAAGGGCCACCACCTATGCTCATGCACCTGTGGTGTTACAGGTTTTAGTCCAGAGACTAGGTAAGGTGTTCTGAGCTATGAAAACAGCTGATGGGCTGGTCTATAAATCCAGTTTAACCTATGACTCAGGTGTTGTACTGGTGTGCTTATCAGAAATGCCTGCAACAAAAGGGGCAAAAGTCCCTTTGATTTTCCAGCACTGACATACTGATTTACATTACACGGAGATACGTATTTTGACTGCTTGACAAAGAAAATCATGCCCATGATAGCGTCTTGTCAAGCAAGTAATCCTACTGAATGGAAGCATGACCAGCGCCATCCATTTTGAGGTCTCTTCTGCGTGGTAGTTTCCAGAGTCCTGGTGTGGCCAATTTCAGGGAACTGTGTTTTAACCTGGCAACTACCTGCAGACTTTACCGAGCAGTGCTGGGAGCTTTGGGCACTTAGCAGCTTTGAAAATGACATCGTAGGCATCTTAAATGTACTTTTCAAGCATGCATTGGTTTTAAAGTTTCCAGCTGGCCTTTTGGCCATATATGTAGATCACGCACTGAACTGCTTACCAGGAATGGCAGTTACTTGAATGCAAATAAAAATTACATGTTTCTCTCCTGCCTTCGTCCTCCCCTTTTCTGCTTTCCATGTGGAATAAGATCTTGGGGATGTCTTGAGCTGGACCATGAACTCTCTAGACTGTCAGTTTTGCTAAGGGTAGAAGGGGTTTGCTGTGTAAAGCCCTACTTGCTCTTTGGATACTTGCACTACAACCTGCCATATTTTCACCGTTACTGACATGTGACAGCAAGAGTTTAGACGCATGCAGCCTTGCCTAGGGGTAAAAGGGGCTGGGGGAAGACACCAGCAGAAGACACAAACAAAACAGCTAGTTCAGAGCTCACAATTAACATGACTGAGATTTTAAGCAAGTCTCAGGGTAGCGGTAGCGGGTAGCACAAAGCCAGCACTGGGAGCTCATTTTAATTTCAACCATCTTGTGCGTGTGTAGTTGGCTGTCTTTGTTTAAAGAACCTGGCCTTCAGGTAGATTTTATTTGGATGGCTTGCTTATCCAAAGAACATTAACGACTTTCCTTGAGGAGTTCTAGCCAGTACCTTTGCACCCCGGTTCTCCTCTAGCCCTGTTTTCTCTTTTCCATAATCTCCCAGTGCCCGGCAGCAAGCCTTTAGGGTACATGCGCAAGCAAAAGGAGCTTGAGTTGGGGAATTAATATTCCTGGAACATAACACCAGCAGCATGCACACGCTGAGGAGAATATTAGAGCTATTAGCGGTGGGAGTTTGGAGTGCATGCAATATCTAGATGGAGAATTCAGTGTGATTAATCTGCCTCTAAGCAGCAGCCTCCGGGCTCTGGGAATTCTGTGGCACGTTTGAAATCAGAACTTTTTTTAATTACCTTTCCGCATCAACAAAACAATTGCAGTTGTGTGAAAATAAGCCCATTCAGTCCCTGCCCTGTCTCTGTTCTTTTTTTTTTTTTTTCCCTTTTTCCTTTTTGGATGAGACATGCTACCAGAGCCCTGAGTATTCATGGTCCCAGCAGCTCTGACAGCACTTCACACAAGTGCAGAGGGACTTAACCTGGGAGACTTGGCCAGCCTCCAAGTCAGGTAATTGCATCATGGGCCAAGTTGGAGCAAGCCCATGCTAGTCAGTGTGCATGTGTTAGATTCCTTCCTCTTCCCCACTTCTTTTTTCTGCTTCTCAATAAATGCCCATGCCTTCCTCTCTTCCCCATTCCCCTCCTCACCTTGCATGGCACGTTGACAGCCATGTTGTCTCCCTGCCCACAGGCAGGTTGAGAGAGATTCCCCGAGAGAGAAGGAGTGGGATAAGCGTGGAGGTTTTCTCTCACGCAGTCAGCAGGGTGGAAAAAAATAGATAAAAAAGATGAAAGGAGTCAGTATAAAAATGGTAGTAAAGTTGTGGCCAAACAAGTAGCAAGACTTGCTGAAGGATATGAGATTGGATGGGGTTCTCGCTGCTTGCAATTCATACCTTTTCCCTCCCTCTCACAAGCAGAGGCAGGAGAGTTTATTCCTTCCATTGCAGCCTGGTTTGTTGCTCTACTGGCACAGAGAAGCCATAAAACAACAGGGGAAATCTTCTTTGATGCTGTGGCTCTGCCAAGGCTGGGATGATGCCCCAAGGCACTGGTATTCAGAGTTGATGTGGGAACTGAGGCTTTGGCCATGGAGGAGCTCCCACCTGGAAGAGCATCTTCTGGCCGCCTGGATTTTATGCTGGAAGCGCATAGAGCCACCGGGGTACAAAAGTTTCCAACAAGTGTCTTGGGCTTCCAGTGCTGCTGCCAGCCCTCTGGGGCACCTCAGGCACTCATGGGGTGCTTCCACCGTCCAGCAGCAGCAAGCTGGGAATGTACTTGCCAGCTGGTTCATAGCAGGGATCTGGATCGCTTCCTCTTCGCTTCTCGCTCGCTCCACGTACAGATTTCCCTCCCGCCGCACTGGCAGGTTGCGGGAAGGGCAGGCTACGATGGCAGTGCTGTTTTCTCCTCCCTTCCAGGTCGGCGCAGTGATGGGAATTGCTTTGCAGGTCTCAATGAGGGCAGGGATGAAGGTTGGAGAGAGGAGTGAACACACTGTGAGGATCACAAGCTGTCTCCTTTTTGGGTCTGCAGTTCCAATAACTTCATAAATATAATGTTGTCTGCAATTAGCACTGTTTAATTATTTAATTTTTTTCTTTATTTCACTTGGCTGTGGCTGTGCCTTTGGCTTATTCTTCTAAATTCCTGGCCTTCAGGTATGACTAGCACAGTGCAAGTGTTTGAGCTGCCTTGCTTCAAAAGGTGAAAGAAAATATCCCATTTTAAACACAAATAACAGATTTTTATTTTTGGGGCTTATTTACTGACATGTTTGAGGTTGTGTTAAATTTTGAGAAATTGATGTTAAACAAATGCACCAGCTGAATAAACAAAAAAAGCCCCACATCTTACAACTTTCCAGGTCACATTAAGCCAATAGCTACTTAATGAGCCTTTTTTTTTTTCTTTTAGGCTTTATTTCAGATATGACCATAGAAGTCTTATATCATCAGCTTTTGCTCCTAGAGCAACAACTGAGGATTGCCTTGTATTGGGAGTACATCAAAGCCTCCTGGCCTTTCTTTTATCTACCCCAGCCTATCTTCTCCTCCCCAGGGCACCTAAAACCTAAAAATACACTAGGGAATCGAAAACCTCACCCTATTGCCATGTTTAGGCCTCACACTGTTACCTTAATTCTGACCTTTAATACCCCTTTTACTCGAATCGTAGCTTAGTAGTGGTTTCGGATCCTCAGATGGGGAAAACCCCCCCAAGTGCACACTGGTTAGCATAACCTCTGCCTGGCCCACGGTTCCCAGACCTCTGCCATGGAGCTCTGGTCACTCTGTGCGGTCCTGCTTGCCCAGTGGCTCTCAGCGCTGCCTTCCCAGCGTGTCTCCGGCACAACCCGAAGCATCTGCCTGTTTTGGTCCTTACCATGCAATCCCCCTCCACCATACCCCCTAGAGCTTCTCCT